CGCATTAAATATATTAAAACCATATCTATTAAACTAATTTTATATAAATAAATATATATAAAAATTGATTTTAGTTCTTTTTATAATAAATTATATTTATAATGAAAAAATACCATTTAAAATATTAACTAATAATTTTTAAAAATATATTTTTATTTATTTATTAATTATTTTAATTATTTTTAATATTAATTTCGGATCCGGATCCGGATATCCCCGGATATCTTGATTTTTGGAACGATTCCTAAAGACTGGATGTCCGGAGGTCACGATTCCGGATCCGGATAGTTTTTTCACGGATCCGACGATTCCGGATCCGGATCCGGATGCTCTGAAATTCCAGGATATCCGGAATCGTCCCACCCCTAATTTACTTTGTATAGTGTTATGAAAAAAATACATACATTATGAAAAAACAATTATGGGCCTTTTTTCAAAATTTTACCTAAATATTTTTGTTTCTTTATTAAGAATTTAAATAAGAAAAATTGGGCCCCTTATTGGAACACGGGATGGGGCCCGCACCATCGCTTCCGGTTTTCCCATTCTTGAGCCGGCCATGGAGACTAAAGATTTTGGTTAACAAGCCAAAAGTGTCTTGAGCTTGTGAAGAATAATTTAGGTGAAATTCGTAAGTGCATCTAAAAAAATAAATATTTTTCATTATGTCAAAGATGTGTGTATGATCAAAATGATCTTGCATTAATTTTACAAATATTTTAGCTTATGAATATCATTCAACATGTTTTTTGCCACCAAGGCCATAAGACTTCTTTTAACCTTTTGTGGAGAGTGTGAATGCGACAACTACTAGTAATGTAGTAAGACATAAAGTAACATAAAATTTGACACAAAATTGCTCTACAAAGATATTAATAGAATTTTCATTAGATTCACTTAAAAGTTTTTTCACAAGCGCAAGACACATCTTGACTTGTTTAAAAGTAATTTATAGCCTCTCATGTTCAACTGATCTAATACAGAGTCCATGAACAGTTCATACCCTTTAACCTTTAATTTTGAGCATCAAAACCCTTTTGCTAGGAATTCTCTTTGTATCTTCGTGAGTGTCATATACAATGCATGTGCCTCTCTATTTATATATGTAGAGACGAGCACCAACTATTCAAGTTGGAGATAAAACCAAATCTCCCTTTGTGATTATCTTCTCCTTATTTTTGTCCAAGAGATAATCTTACATTTTCAAGATCTATATTCGCGTACAAACATATTCTCCACACCTAAAACCGCCTCTCTAATGTCCAATCCAGCTACCGCCATTATTTGGTACAACTCAACCAATTCGGCTCTAGGTCAGCAACAGCACGCTCTGGAGCATGTAGTGCCAATTTCGAGGGTAGGCAAGAGGGGCATGGGCCCTGGGTCCCAATTTTTTTTTTTTAAATAACAGCAAAATTATACTGAAAAAACCCACTTTTAAAATTTGTTTTTTTACTAAAACTAAAAAGACTCATTTTTCCAGCAAATTTTTTTTTATTATTAGAGGTTTGCCATGGCCCAGTTTTGGATTGAAACGGCACTGGGAGCACGTTGTACTTCTTGTCTGATACAGAATGCGTCGCATACCTCTTATAGCTTCAATTTCCCTCTTTAGCTTTGTGTCTCCGTGTTCTCATCATATTCTAAACTCAATCAAAATTCACTTTCAAGAACGTGGAGTCGAACTCATGTGCTCAAGTATCTGACCTCTTGCAACTGATTTTACAAATGTTATATGAATATCATTCGTTGCTAATTTTTCAAGATCTCAGAGCTGTTAAACAACAATATGAATTGCTTATATAATTTTATTTTGGCGTTTGTAATCGACCATATGTTTTGATGATACTGACCTAATGACAAGCATTTATGTTGGTGATTGACAGATTATTTGCATTTTTTAAGTACTACACAATAATCGTAAATGGCAAAATCATTGGTGTAACATCTACAATGGATCGATACAGTTTTTGGATCTAACTGTATACAATGGGTCTTTTAACTTTACTAGCATTATGGTTGCTTACTCTGACAATGTGACAATTTCCTCATAGGCTTGTCTTGATGCTAATGCATTCATTGTGACAARGCAGAAATTTCGAAGCTTTCTATTTTATAAATTTATCAAGATGTGAGAAGAAATGTTTAGGTGAAGGAGGAATCATCATAGCTTTAAGTTTGTAGTTCTTCGTTAGAAATCAAAATTTTGATGCTGGGTTTTGCAGTATTAAGAA